AAACAAAAAAATACCTTATAACCCACAGGTCTATCATTAGTAATGCATTACCTTCATTGTTTCCTTACATTTGTTCAATGTCTATGATATGCCTAGCAGCAATGCTCGGAGGGCACAAGCACTTGGTCCCTAGCAGAGAGGCTGGTGGTTCAGACCTCTTGGGACACCAAGGAAAAGAGGTCACGGCCTTGAAAACCATTGGAGCAGTTCTGTTCTGCACGGAAGGGGTTAACAGGACTCAGCACCAGCTCAATGGCCACTCTCAAGAGCAGCACACGCCAAGCTGCTTGCTAGAGGCTGGGCTGCCCCGCAGGAATAAAGACCCGATTCTTGTCTTGCAGAGTTGCCGTGTCATGGCGGACAGTAGCATGAATAGTCACAGTGTAGGGTATACACAATCCAAAAGAAAGTCTTGCAATTTGACAATCACTCCTCTAGGACCAAGGTCCTGATCAACCCGGAGACACAAAGAGGGGGCTTTGCAGTCTGCGCTGCTCCCCACGGCTCGCCTCAGCCAGCAAATGCCATTAAGCATGTCCAACACTTGACACCACTCCTGGCACACTGGAGGTGCCCAGTCACGAACAACCAGCAGGAAAAGGAATACTAAATGTGTCCATGGGACTATGTGAGCAGAGGTGTTGCCAAGGTAAAATCATACTAACTTCAGGAGGAAGGGGCCAAAAAGGAAAGGCAGTGACTCAAATGGGTGTCGTGGTTTCTATCATTCCCCTCCACCATCTCTACTGCACCAGGGCCCAGATTTGTAGAGAAACCACCTCCCTCACCAAACCAGGTGGGTGCTGCGCTCCTCATCTAAGTAGAGGGTCCCACTGTCCTCTCAGACTGAAATCAGTAAAAGAAGCATCGTGTGGGCCTCTCCCGTTTCCCTGCCTACTCCACCCAGGAGACAGGGAGCTAGTCTACACGACTATTGCTCCCTCCTCTCTGCATCCTGACTCGAGCCACCTGTGGTGTCTCCATCCTGTAATACATCTTCTCTCAATTGGTCTCCAGTTCCCTGGTTTCCCCTCTGGCATCTTCTCATTCTGCACCCCTATGCTCTCTGACCACCTGGTGCACCTGGCCCATCCCTCTGTCATCATACTTCCAGACTCAGCCTAGCTAACAGGCCGTGCAAGGGTTCTCTACGCTCTTTCCCTCTTATTAGGGGCCTCTCTTCCCAGGGACACCTGTCTGGGTCTTCATTACAATCTTCTTTAGAAAAGAACACATCTGTTGGTTCTGCACCGGTTGGCTTTTCTCTCTAACTGTGGTCTTGGGGGCAGCGGCAGGGCTCTCTGGCTGGTTCCATTCTTTGACTTATCTCACTGTCTGGGCTAGAATAGTTGAAAATACGTTCATTTACAAAAATAATTAACAACGACTAAGACCTTTCCCTCCCACACATCAAACACTAGATTAGCAACAGATACATTATACCACATTGACTCCTTAAGGTACAAACTAAAAAGAAACAAACAAAGCGTATCACATACACAAAAGAAAGCAAAAATCAAGAGATTCAAATCAGTAAATCACGAACACGGTGCAATGAAAAACGAAAAGCCTCCCATCAAAATAGTGCCGTGTCCTTATTATCAACAAAAGCATTTCAGGGGAAGCTTTCACTTTGTAAACATCAGGCTCAAGTTTCTGTTTCGGTTAAATCCTAGACTATATTTTCCCACGAGGTTAGACCTGCCAGGCTGGCACCGGACTGGGCGGTATTTCGTTCTGCTACGCATTGGGTCCCCGTGAGTCAGAACGGACTCAACAGCACCCAACAATGACAAGAAACGACCCAGCTTAGGAACACGGCCCTGTTTCCAGCACAAATAGCCCAGTGAATATGAAGAGAAATGAACCGTCACCCACTGAACACGATGTTTGCAACACGATTGGACTAAGTTTATAGGTGATCATTAAACATACGTTGAAGGGATTCTCGAACGCCGTTATTTACCAGCAAGAGAGAAAGTAAATATTTGCACAAGTCCGTCCTTGTGATCGTTTACAGTGATAAAGTTTTCCTAACACTAAAGCAAGGCTGTAAGAACCCTAGCAAATCTACTGCTCTGTAAATGTTCCCGTTACAATCATTGCAGCTGAAGCATTCGCCACAATTGTACGGCATCATTAGAAATAGGGTGACATCCGAATAACTGTCTCCACACACGTGGATCCTGGAGCCCAAGGTCACACGCAGCGGGTTGTCGACGTTGAGCTGTTGGTACCACTGAAGGCATGACTTCATTACCTGTCATGTCCGTTTTCTGTAAGTCTCGCCAATTACTTCCGCTAATACTAACAACGTCAAAAATAGTAGCTCCAACTGATAAAGGCATATAGATATTATCAAGTAATGTTTAATGTATTTGTCATGAATGAAAGGGAGACAAAGAGGAACTAAAATGTGTAACTTTAAAAACAAATATCTCAGCGTGACTAATGCTGACCACGGGAATCTAGCACCCACTTTCTGGTCTCGGTTTTACCAAACTGATTTCTATATTTTATTCCCGTCCTTTAAGCTAAGAGGATGTAGGAAAGGCATAGATGCTCCCCACTTGAGGGGAGCAAACTGCAGAATTGTATGTAAATGGATATATTGGATGGCGTAAGATATGGCAAAAAAAGCAAGAAATATGATTTCCTGGGGGTAGGGTGGGAGAGGAGGGGATAAAGGGGAGCAGATGTCAAAGAGTTCAAGAAGAAAGAAAATGTTTTGAAACAGATGGTGGTAGGAAGTGTGCAATACTGCTTGATGTCATTGAACTACGGAATGTTACAATATCTACAAGAGCTCCCAATAAAATGATTAAAAAAGAAAATATTGGGAGAACTTGATAAATAAAAGAGCATAAACAGATGCCTCTGTGATTGTAGTCTATGGCACGCTATCTCTGTCTCATTACTTAATTTACAACGAGACAAGACCACGCTGGAAATACAACCTTGTTTAGCGACCATAGCTGGAGCTATTTTAAAATGAATCTAACATAAATAGAAACAGACATGTTTACTTTACTGAACTTCCTTTTAAGGGCACCCATGATTCACAGCAGGACTAAAACTGTCAATATGAAAACTGGCTTTCGCTACTGAATCGTAAGAGACAGGAAGGGGGTTCCAGGCTTCTGGTCCGGGGTGCCCCTCTTCCTGATGTCCTGGAAGAACTGGCAGAGTGGGAGACAAATAGAGATCACTTGGGAAGGCAGCCAGTGAACAGGACATAGGGGCAGGAGTTAACGGGCCACTTCAAGCTCCGCTGTCAAATCCACAGGGCGAAAACGACTCCGTGTGGCTTAGAAGCTTCCCAAAGGTGCCTTTCCGAGCAGTGCACTCAACCCCGCACAGCTGGAAAGGGTTAACTGGCAGGAAGCCCTGAGCTATGCCTCCCCAGCTCCTTATGTCTCCGCCGGCTGAGGGCCATTTTTCAGCCGCAGGATTGCAGCCACCGGCACAGAGGAAGGCAACCAAAATGTCACCACGAACCAGACGGATCGCCCTGGAACAAATCCCTCCCGCCCCCTCCCAATACTTGGTACTTTCAAAAGTTTGATTTGCAAGGGGCTGAAGGGAATCCGATTTTGCGATTGTGATTAGGCAAGTGATTAGGCAAATCACACTCGTATGTTTACCAAGTCTCACGGGGGCGTATTTGTAGTTAGCAAGGCGTCCCCCCTCCCATCCCACCCCACCCTTGCTTTCTGTTTTTAGCAACAAGTCCGTTTGGGAAGCACCACCTCATGGAGAAAACAGGAAGGCCACTTACGTGTCCTCTGTGCCAGCCTGCCACCAGCTCGCTGTCCGTGTTCTTCTCTTCCAGAAGGGCAAGTTGCTCAGCCCAGCCCTGCAGAAGCCCACTGAATTGCTCCAGGGCCTCCCCAAGCTGGGCCACTTGGCCTGAGAACTCCTGCTCCGACAGGGCCATCTGGCTGGCCAAGTCCTCCAGGCTGCTCCTCGTCCGCAAGACGCTGTCTTCCCACTGCTTCCAGTCGGCCCGCAGGGCCTGCATCTCCGCATCCATGAGCTCACACCCCCTGGCACTTGTGTCCTCTTTCACAGCGGGAGCCAGCGACTCCACTCTGCTCAGGCGGCTAGCACCAATCTCTCTGGAATCTATCAACTCCTGCAATGGAATATCACCATGGTAACCAAGGGGCCTGTGAGTCATTTAGACTGTGAGTTTCCAAATGTGTACAGCCGGGGACCCTGTCCGGCTAGGAAGTTTCAGTAAGCATGCTCTGGGGATCAGAATCCATTCAACCACCCACCACTGAGTTATAATAGCAGCGCACTGGCATCCTGGGAGGGACGGCTGATGGCAAGGTAGCATCCGGGATCCCCACCACCTGCACACAGACTAAGTGGGACCCTAAAGTCAGGCTTGCTTGAATATGTCAAGATGTGTCGTCATAGTGATTAAGGACTTGCCTGTGAGGTGTGTCCCTAGAAACGTGCAGGTCCACGTACACCTTCCAAGTGGAAGGACAAGTGAATGAGGATAGAAGCAGAAGGGGGTTGTGTCTCGTCTCTACCACCATGTTCAGTTTCTCCCACAAGACAATGACTTCAACCCTATGTCCAATCTACCAGGAGTCAAGCTAACGCCTCAGGACAATTAATGGGTGACAAATGGGTCCTACAGACTTTCAAATCTTTCAGTATCTTCAGCAACCAGTATGGTGACTCAATGCCATCTGGCCAACTGACGATAGGGGCAGGGTAGAGCTCCTCCTGGGGGTTTCCAAAATGCTATCTCTTGACGGGAGTAGAAAGCCTCATCTTTCTCTTGAGGAGCGACTGGTGGTTTCAAACTGCTGACCTTGAGGTCAGCAGCCCAAAGAGTAACCACTATGCCACCCAGGGCATTCCTAAACATGATGAGAGCCACTAAAATTTTTAGAAATCACAGAGCAACAATCAAAATGTCAAAGTAACCGTTAGACTGGATTCACTATTAATGTTATATTAAAAACATCATAGTGATAAAGCAGACAGAGGCTCTCAAGGAAAACATGATAAAATTAAAATATTGTTCAATAGGTATGATGGTGGCAGTTCTTTCTGAGATTCTTATATTGGGTTTTCAATCACTGAATATATCCCTCTGTGCTCATATATGTATGCATCTATTGCTAAAGCTGAGATTATGCTAGTATTAATCCAAAATTAGGACCTTCCTCCTGAATGAAATACAAGGGAAACAATGATTAATGAGGGAAAGTTTCAAGGAAGAAATCAATCACATTTTAGTAACGATATTGATTACATATTATTAAGGAAAATTTCGATAGTAAGCATAAACCATGCTTAATAAATTGTGTTACGTGTAATTTGTCTATTTAATAGATTTCAGCAAATTAACTAGAAATAAATAAGTTTTCTCAAAATTACATATAATAAAGTCACAATTTGTACATATTTTGCTTAAAAACCAACCTCAATGCCACCGAATCAATTCTGATTAATAGCTATCCTATGGACAGGATAGAATTGCTCCTGTGAGTTTCCAAGAATGTAACTGTTTACGGGAGAGTAGAAAGCCTCACCTTTATCCAGGGATGGTTGGTGGTTTGACTGCTGATCTTGGAGTTAGCAGCCCAATGTCTAACCTTACAGCACCAGAAATCCTTTAAAACTCCACTACCTATTGCCATTGAGAAAAATTTTGACCCATAGCAACCCTATAAGTACTGAGTAGAACTGCCTCATAGGGTTTCCAAGGCTGTAATTTTCAAGGAAATGGACTGTGACCTCTTTCTCCCATAGAGAGGCTAGTAGGTTCAAACCACAGACCTTTTAGTTAGTAGTCACCTGGACTCTGTGCTAACTCATTTTGGGACTTGGAACCGTGGGTGCATAAATGGAAAGATTGATAGACCAATATATTAGCACACTATTGAGTAATTCATCAGAGAAAAGTTTCAAAGAATCACAGAAATAATAAAGATTTGAAACTTGGCTTTTTGTGAATTCACTCAACCAAACCCTGTAGAATGAAATGAGGTCCAATAGGATAGCATTTCGAAAGCAGTCAGAAATAAGTTCTCAAAAAATGTAATTATTACTACTACCATTTTATATGTTTTATGTTATGATCTCCATGGATCAGAGCATAAACTGGGTATAAACATACTTGGATTATTTTATTCCCAACATGGCCTCATCTAAAGCAAAATAATTGCTTAATATTAAAATCTATTGTTCTCCACAGAGGGGAATGTGATTAAAATTTAATATCCAAGCAACTAGTAATGCACTAAAAGATAATAAAGATCTCGAACTCCTTCAGAATGGGAGGATTTCTGTTTTTGAAGTCGCCTTATTAACCCAGTAATACTAGGTCGTAACTTCAATGTTCTTCAAAATAACTGTGTTCCACAAGGCTGTACTATTGTTTAGGGAAGTAGAATAAGATATCTCTGGTAACATGGCCTAATTATTGTTCGAATATATTTTATTTTTTCTTTTTCACAAACTTTTCCCACAGACTTTTCATTCACAGCATTAGGAAGTGCCATCAGGATTTTCCAATCCTCTGAGCTGGCATGTAATCTTAGTCTTTCATGCTTCAGCAACAAGAACATGTGCACACATCAGGAGACCTGGTGGCACAATGGTTAAGCACCAGCTGAATGTTTAAGGGTTCAAACCCATCCCGGGATCTACGGCAGGAAGTCCTATAAAGATCTCAGGCATGAAAACCATACAGAGAACCTATACTCTACCACAGGAGGTCACTCTGTGTCAAAAACTGACTCCAGGCCACACAATGACAACAGGATAACATATGACATTTTTTCTCACGAGTGCAATATGCTTGGAAATCCTTTTGTTATCTTGCTCATTCATTAGGTACAGGAATAAACACTAACCAATAGGAAACAGGAAGAAAACCGTTTCTGTGACAGACTGGGACCCACAGAATCTTTATCCCAAGTGTGTGATGCTTAAAACCCAAGGAGCCCATGTCGTTCTACCATCTGTCCCTTTTCTGACCTTAATTTTAGACAGCTTCTTCTGAGTGGCGGGCGAGTCTCCAGACAGATCCGACCACCGGTGAAGTTCTTCCTTGGCCGAGTGGAGCCAGTCTGTAAACTCCTGGACAGCATCCAAGTACATGAGATGGTCTTTCACAATCTCTTCCACTTTCCTCATTTTTTCCTAATACACAAAAAAGGGCTACTTTAAGCGCTCGGTCTTGGGAACATGAAATGAGACAACAGCCCTGATGATGTGTGTGCTAATAGAGCTTAGATTCTCCTTCATTTTGAGGCTCCTTTTTCTCCCCGTCCAATCGTTTGAGATGAAAAGAGCACGTCTTTCTTGGATGAAGAACATTGAGGAAGTGACCACTTTTCCTGTGAGTTTCCACGGACTAGTTGAGCATCAAATTTCTGCTGAAAGAATGTAGGCTCACATCTCATATGAATAATCCACTCAATACTACTTATTCTAATAGCTGATCGCCATCACAGCAATTATTTCTGTTGGCTTGGTTTGTGGCCTTCTGCTCAGCCCTTTAAACGCATTTGTTCCCTGGGCCCCACAATAGTCCCATCATGTACAGACACAATGATTCTATCATCGGACAAGAAAAGACACACAGACCACACGTCAAAACGGAGGGCAAAGTCAGGATTCCAACGTAGGTCTTTTGGATTCTTGAGCCATTGTTTTGATGTAGCCAAGTTAAAATGCAGACAAGTAAATGCAAATGTTAGTCATTAAATCTCAATAAGACAAAAGCCCAACCAAAGAAACCAAACCAAATCCAAGAAATGTACTTCCTTTCACACTGTCAGTAAGATGCAAAAAAAAAAAATCACAGGGGAAAATAAAGACTCGGATTCAGGTAGGCAAACGAGAGAAATCTGAATATTATATAAAACGGTCTGTAGTTTGGTCTGAAGGCAACTGCTCATAGTCATGGGCAGGATAAGACAGCATTAAATTCAGTTGTAGATGGGGCCACACCAGTTAGGGGCAGACAGGAGAGCTACTAAAGACAGCCTACATCCATCACTTTGGGGACTACAGAAGGGTCATGTTTTACTCTTGAAACATTAGCACAATACTTTGCACACGAAGGATGTCTGAATCGTGAATAGGCCTGCATTGAATTTGCCAAAATGCAAGGGTAGAACAGCAGAAAAATAGGTAGAAGAGAAGAATTAAAAGATAATAGAATTCCTGCCCCCCGTTCCTTGTCCTACTTTGTGAAGCCCTTTCAGATAAATGATATAAATGGAAGGGACTGTGGTGGCAGAGTGGTCTGTCTATGTGTTCAGCTTCTAACCACAGGGTCAGTAGTTCAAGATCACCGATTGTTCCATTGGAGAAAGAGGAGGCTTCCTGTTCTTTTAAAGATTTATAGCCTCTGAAACCCACAGGGAGCGGTTCTGCCCTGTTGTATAGGGTTGCTGTGAATCAGAATTGACTTAATAGCTGTGAGGTGCTTTCTTCTGTTCTATAAGTGGCAGCAAAAGGAAAAAAGTATGAAAGTACTTCAAGGACTGACATTCAGTATACACTCTTACCAAGAAGGTGAATGGGTTGTTTACCATTCTATGGGAAGAAGAGAAAAAGAAAAAAGAATGTGAGGAATAATCATAAAAGAGCAGAATAGTGTAGATATTAGGCATTCATCGATGCAAAAAGATCATTACGCAATACATGTTAACAGAATGTACAAGTAGCTTTCCCGCAGCAAATTCCCCAGTTAATTCAACTCACAGTTTCTCCGCGAACTGGCCCTTGAAGTCTTGTTCGCAATAGGAAGCACTCACCTTAGCAACAGTCACGATGTCCTGAAACTGGGTGTTCAGTTCCTGCTGAGCGGTGTCCTGGAAGGAAGCGTCCTCAGTCTGCTGGTAGAGGTCCCTGGATCTTGCACTGAGGTGGCGGAGGGCTCCAGCACGGCCCTCAGCCTCTGACACGATGCACTGAAAGTGGTCCAGCAGGGCGAACTTCTCCTTCAGACCTGGCTGCAGCTGCAAGGGATGCTCAACCTGTTGGTCCACTGACTCCATCCACTGCTCCAGCTGGTTTTTCTTCTCGAGGTAGTCATTCCACTGGCTGATCACAGACTCTAAAGTGCTAGAAGTAAACGCCACATATTAGACAAGTGAGTTATCTCAATCTCTAAACTGAAATCCAATGATCAAGGGCCCATATCTGTATGAGCTGTTTTTCTGAATGCTATGACAAGGACTTGAAGCACCTGCTGATGAAGATCGAAGATTGTAGCCTTCAGCATGGATTACAACTCAATGCAAGGAAGATCAAAATCCTCACCACTGGACCAATAGGTCACATCATGATAAATGGAGAAAAGGTTGAAGTTGTCCAGGATTTTGTCTTACATGGATCCACAATCAAGGCGCATAGAAGCAGCAGTGAAGGGGTCAACGGATGCATTGCATTAGGTAAATCTGTTGCGCTTTAGAGTGTTGAAGAGCAAGGATGTTACTTGGGGGACTAAGGTGTGCCTGACCCCAGCCATGTATCATTTACATGTGAAAGCTGGACACTGGATAAGGAAGACTGTAGACTAGATGCATATGAAAAACAATCATGAGATTAAATTTGCTTTAGGGGAAATTGGATGGCTAACCGCAAGAGAAGCGATTCAAAACCACCAGCCTCTCCGAGAGAGAAAGATGGGACTTTCGATTCCTGTCTAGAGCTACAGTCTCAGACACACAGGGGCAGTTCTGCCCTGCCCTAGAGGGTTACTCTGAGTTGGAACCAACTCGGTGGTGGCAAGTTTGGTTTGGGGTTTTAAGTACAATATTCAGGACCCCGGTATTGAATGTGGAAATGAATAGAACTCAATGCATTTTCAATGCAAGGAATACAGTCACACCTATCATGTCCAAGCTAATTAAAAAATGCAGTGTCTTTGAGTTGATTCCCACTCCTAGCGACCCCCCTTTAGGACAGAGTAGAACTGTAAATCCTTACAGGAACCGAAAGCCTCATCGTTCTCCTTTGGCATGGCTGGTAGTTTTGAACTGCTGACCTTGCAGTTGCATGCACCCCACTAGGGCTCCACTGTCAAGCACACAATTCATTAGATAGTCAAGACAATGTCTTTGCAGGCTGACAATTGAAAGGAGTGTCCACTATTCCACTTCCTGGTCTCTCCTAAACTCATCTTCTGGGACTCCTCCCAGCCTCTCTTGCATACGAGCCTGTGACCCTGGACCTACCCAAGCATGCGAGCCTGTGACCCTGGACCTACCCAAGGTTTTTGTTCAAACCTTTGTTGGATCCTCTCCTCACGGACTTTTCTCAAAATCCAAAGCAGGCTCATCTCGCCTGCAGCTGCCCAATTACTGTGCTCGCTCTAATCCGGCGTGTTCTTTTGAAACGTAATAAAATAGTGTCTTTGATCCTTGTTGCTGCTGTTGAGAATGTATGCAGCAAAACACGCACCCGTGTGATCACATCTACGTGCACCTCAGTGATGCTGCGGACAATCTCCAGGCTGTGCAACCAGTCTCCCTCTCCTTTTCCAAACCCGTCCTTCGCCGGTTTAACACAAACTCACGGCCTCTTAATCTTCTCTCTAACCTGCCCAGGTGCTGCTGTCAATTTAATCCCCTAGAGACAGTCCTTGAAATGAGGGCAGAGAAGGCTCTTTTTTACAGATTATTATACTGGTTATTATACGATTTTAAAATATTTCAGGGGATATTTTTGGTTTAAATTTAAAAGTTATTTTAGGGCAATTGATTTGGGGATTCATCCAGCCTCAGAAAGTCTGGAATCCATGTGGATTTAAAGTTCTCTTCTGGATTTCCCACCTTCTGATCAAGATTCTGCTGTAGAATCGTTGATCAGAATGCTCAGTAACGGTAGCCGGGCACCACTCAGTCCTTCCGGTCTCCTGGCAAAGGAGGCAGTAGTTCCTGGAGATAGTTAGCCACATCTTCCACTTATTCCTCAGCTCCCAATTCTCCTTCTTCCTCTGTGTTCCAGAATAGAAACAAATTGCTATCTCTTGGATAACTGCTTGTAAACTTTTAACACCTCAGGAATGAGACAATGAACATGGAGGTAATAAAGAATCATTAAACACTATGTGGGGCCAATTAACTCAGTTGTTTCATGAAACCCTTGCCCTAAACTTCCCCACAATAAATTAAATTCCATGAGGTGTTTGGCTGTACATAAGCCCCTCAATATCTGTTCTTTGTTGTCGTTGCTGCTGCTATTATATATAAATATATATATAAACACTTTGGCCATTTCAACTTTTTATCGGAATCCAATTTATCAGCAGCAATGACATTATTTGTCTGTGCAACACTTACAATTTTAAAAATTCAGTGCACAGCTTCGATCACCATGCATGGCAACTCGGTGCCCAAAACCACTAAGTTTCCATTTCCTCCTCTCGTCCACCATTGGAGGAAAAAGAGGAAGGCTGTCAAAAAGATTGATTGGCACCATGGTTGAAATCATGGGCTCGGGCATAGGAGCCACTGGGAGGACGATGCAGGACCGGGCACCATCTGTTTCCTTCTACTGAGCATAGAGTCGCTGCTATGGGTCAGCACTGACTCGATAGCAGATAAAAACAATAACCCGCTGTGTTAGCCTGGGTAGACTAGAGAAACAAATCCAGGGAGACTCATAGGTGTATGAGAGAGTTTTATATACAGGGTAATTGTATATTTAGAAAGCATCTCAACCCAGTCCAGTCCAAGCCCATAAGTTCAATATTAGCCCATATGCCTGATACCAATCTGTAAAGTGCTCTTCTGACTCACAAATCACATGCAGTGATGCCGGATGCAGGACATTCACAGGTGAGTGGGTAGAAAGTATTTGGATCCTGTCACGTTGTAAGCACCTCAGTGCTGGCTTCTATGTGGCTTCTCTGGCTTCAGAGGTCTGACTGCATCAGGGTAGGTCCATGTGGCTTCTCCAGCTCAGGGTACTTGCATAATTCCATGTGTCTTGTCAGCTGCAATTTCTCCCAGGGAGTGAACAGAGAGAAGTGTCTCCCGCCTCCAAGCAGGAACAAGAGGATTTCCCAGAATCCTCAGGAGAAGACCATGCCCTCCCAGAGGCCTCGTTGACTACGATCTGATTGGCAGGCTAGACTACACCCCTATACTCTTAATCCTCAAATTGATAAATGGTTATATAACTACCACGTCCACCACTGACAATCGCCAGTGTCTCTTCCTTGTCATTTTACAGGACATTCTGTCTGCCAGTTCCATCGAGGTTGCAGAATGTAGCAGGACTTCATTCTCCTTTATGGTTGATTAGTATTCCATTGCACAAATGTACGACACTTCTTATGCTTATGCATGTATCTGTTGCCTGGTACATAGGTTGTTTCCACCATTTGGTTATGGTAAAGAGTGCTACAGTAACTGTATTAGTCTGGGTACTTTGGAGAAAGAGACAGATAGGGGATATGATATATATGTGTGTGTGTATATATATATATGTATATATATATAACATATAAATATGCATGCACCCATACCGACAACCACACTTATATATCCCCATACATGTACTCCCAAAAAACCCTCCCACACTTACAGAGCAGACATATCTACCAATACAATCATTCACAAACTTTTGGTTGCTATTACTGTCATTGTAGAATTATAGATATAACAGCATTTGTGTAGTTTTCCTTTATATCTGTGTACATTTCAGCGTCTTCATTACCTTGATCCTATTTTGCTGGCTCCTCCCATCCTTCGTATTGTCCTTCCTTTCACCAGAAGACTCACATGTCTACCATCTAAGTGAGTCTCCCTTCTTTCCCTTCCTATCCCTGGTACCCATCAAAGAAAAGTCCTTTCTGTATGTGAACCTAGTGGTGACTTATCATAAAAGGACTATCATATAAATGTCCTTTTGTGATTGAATTGTTTCACTCAGCATAATTTTTTTCCAGATTCATCCAGGTTAGAAGACGTTTCAAGGATTAGTATTGTTCTTTATCATTGTACACATATGCACCGCATTCTGAATAGCCATTCACCCAGGGATGGACATGTAGGTTGTTTTCATCGTTTCGATATTCTGAATAACGCTGTAATAAACACAGTGCGCGTAAGTCTCTCACTGTCCCTGCTGTTAGTTCTCTGGGATGAATACCGGTAACTAGGAGGGGATGGTCACATCATAGGGGAGGAAGTGCCATTCCTTTTTCCAGAGTGGCTGTGCCATTTTACGATCCCACCAACAATGTCTACAGAGTTCCGGTCTCCCCATAACCTCTCCAGCAAATGTTCTCTCTCTATCTCTCAATGCCATATTTCTCAGGGCTTGGGTGTTATCTCATTAGAGCTTTGATATATATCTCTCAAATGGCTAATGCATTTGTTACGCGTCTGAATGCCTTTGATGACATTCCTGTTGTTGTCTTTGCCTGTTTTGTTGATTGGGTGCTCATCTTTCTGTTGTTGAGATGTTGAAGTTTTCTAAGTATTTGGGAGATCCGACTTGTCCAGACGCCGGTTGTAGATGTGATTTCCAAAGATGGTTTCCTAGACTAAAGGTTTTATTTTTATTCTTTTTGTGAACTAGTTTGATGAGCCGACGCATTTCATTTTCAGGAGACCTCGGTTCCGTGGTTCATCTTCTGCTGCGGATGCGTTCTTAGTGATATTTGGTAGTGCACTTATGCCGTAATTATAGAACTCTTAGATGTGTCCTGAAGTTACCTTCGGGAAGCTTATTGTTTTAGGTTTCACATTTAGGTCTTTGATCCCTTTTGAGTTAGTCTTTGCTTCTGGTTATGGGTATCAATCCTGTTTCGGGTTTTTTGTTTTCTAAGAAATTCTTAACACAATCTAAATAAGAGTTTTCCAAGAGCACCTCCAACTCTAGCTGCTGA